CGACTTTTGAAAATAAGTTCCGAGGCATTTTGGATTAACCCAGCACAATGGATCCCAAAACTTCCACAAGGATAAAGCCACGCGAGAAGCCTTTCAGCACCACGAAAACAATTCCAAAGTAATTGTGAGGGAGCAGCGATCGGAGATGGAAATGCTTCGATTACCTGGACGAGGGGGAAAATCACATTCGAAATTTCCTCTCTCTCGAAAATATTGTGGTTAACCGAGTAAATTCTAATCGGAGAAAACTCTCCGCATCCAACGGCAAGCAAAGAATATAGTAGGGGCCCATCATCATTTTCATTGGATAGAATGCCATTATCATTCTGAACTATCTTCAAAATTCCGCTTTGCTTATTCAAATCATAAAACGTATTGTGCGAGGTAGACCAGGAAATGGCTGTCACAGGATGATCTGCACACACTTGTGCAAGCTAATTATCAGGATAGGTAAAAACCTGAGTGTAGTTCTGCGTTATAGCCGAGCCAGGCTTGAGAGCGTAAATAAAGCATTCACCTGTGGTCAACACTGCAGCAATCGCTGATGGACCTGTAGAGAGGGTCGGTGATGCGACACTCGTTAGCCACTTTCGATTGTTTGATGTAGGTGTTATAGCCTCGGACGCCCATATGGTCCAGTAGTTGCTGTGGCAAAATCCGGGATCCACTGCGGATGGAGGCCATTTGGACCCCAAATCCTATGGTAAAAGAGTCAGAAATACAATGACGGTGATGATTGTCGCTGTCCGGACCACAAGTTCGTTGGATTTTGTCCATTCAAGTGCGTTTGGTGTGAGCGGACAGTCCCAAATAGATTCCTCCACCAGCGGTGGCAACTTTAGCATGGAAAGTTGAAAAGTTGAAGTTTACTTTGGACAAATTGGTGCTGTAGGGCAACTTTTATTGATGAATTGGTAACTTAGGGTTAGAATATACTTTTGGCCTTCTGATTGGGCTCGCATGCTATTTAGCGTCAATTTACAAATTTTGGGAATTGTGATATCAAAGCGCATGCCGACTG